TATTTTTTTTATTTCAAAAAGTGACATATCAAGTTACATAAGGAAATTATTCTCACATTCTCTCACACATTCACACTTCCCCTCTCTAGTTTGAACAAGGATGAAATAATAAATAAAAAGTTTATCAATGAGCTATAGTATTCCATTTGAAAAATAGTTACTGTTGGTGTCTTAATAAATGTTTATAACTCAAAAATATTAATCCATGGTGACCATAAGTTTTCAAAATTGTTCATTTCAAATTTTTGAATCGATATGCGTTTTTTTACTTTGTACATAAGAGTTAAATGATGAAGCAGCCCAGTAATCATAGGTATTTTGTTCTGTTTCAAACAGGAAAAGATATATTGCTTTGTATATAGAATAATAAAATGTATCACCCTATTATGATAAGATAATGGAGTTTCACCAAAAATAATATTACATGTGTTAAACCCAATTCTTTTGGAAGTTTTTGTAAAATGTGCATACTAAGATTACTCCACAATAAAGAGATTTTTGTGCAATTCAAAAATATATGTTGCATAGTTTCTATCTCCTGTTTACAAAAAGTACAGTGGTCATCAGATAAAATATTTATTTTCTTCAAATAATATTTCACTGGAAGGATTCTATACTGTAACCATTGAACGGAAGTATCCATAGTTGTTCTAAAACAAACCTTAAAAACATCTTGAACACAAATATCAGATTCTAAAAACACTGATAGCTCCTGGTTCCATCGAAATATAGACGTAGGAGTGACATTGTTACTATTCAAATATCTGTAAATTATTTTAGTGCACTTTTCATATACAATAATATTTTCAAAGTAAAAAGGAATAAAAGGGGTACATTCCCTCTTAACAGATGATTTATCTATACACATTGTTTTTTAAATACCTGGTTATAGCACATAAAATACTGTTGTATTGCATAATGCAAACTTTAGACAAATGAAATCTATTTTCAAAGTCAATGAGAGTTAAAAAAAATTTCCTTCATCGTTTAAGAAATCACAAACACTTTTAACACCATTTTTATACCAGGTCTTTACAAAAATTATTTTGTTTCCCATTTTTATATTGGGATTGTACCAGACAGGTAAATTTAGATACCTAGTTTTCATATATGAATTGTTATTGAGCATCTTCATGAAATATACCCATGAATTAAACACATCTTTCCAAAAATCTTTACCTGTCAGACTTAATGAATAATAAAATAACAAAACACATACCTTTATAGTTTGAATGAAATAAATCTTTATTAGCACATTTCAATTTAAAACTCTGAAAATAATTAATGTTTTAAGTCAAACAAAATTCCTAAAAATGATATTTTAAAACATATAAAATTTCTCTCTATTACAATTCGATGATTTTTGATACTTTTTAAACTTTAACCTAACCATTTGCATTTCAGATTATTTTTACCCCAATCTATACCTAAACTTGTACTTACCGACTGTCATAGGTACTGCCAAATTCATGGAATATAATCCAATTAAAACACTATGAATTAATTCCTACTGATATAGGCCTTTGTAATGATGTGTATACCATGTGCAATCCAAATGATAATGGTAAAACTAGTACTAGTAGGGTGACGCAAGTCCAATGTGATGTAGAAATTTCAAAAAGGTGTACACATGTATAGTACAAGGACAAATTTTAAATTATCATTACAAACGATGTTTTAACATAACTTTAATTGCTATCTATGCCTATTTCCAAAAACAGAAATTGTGTGTGGGGGAGGGGGTGACAAAATTGATTGGGTGTGGCTTTTTGAGCAGGTTTTTGCCAACCCAAATACTGAAAAATGTTTGCACGATTTGTTCAATTCTAAAAGTTGGCATCTAAGTTTATCAAAAACGCTTTGCACTAAAATAATATAATTTGTTGTTCAAAAAATAAACGTAAAAAGTTCCAATTATGGGCCAAAAATTTATATCCCCCCTTTTATCAAAACCTAATTATATAATTTACATCATTAATTAAATTCTGTAATTTCAGACCGGTAATGAATTAAGCTAATGAAATGCGTATAAGAGGCTTATGGATCACATGGTCACCTGAGCATTTTATGCTTGATTTCACAAATACATGTTCTGTGTAAATTATAGAATTATTTGGCTTTTTTCTTGGTTATCCCAATATGAAGGGGTGTGCATTTAGTGGCAAACATCTTAGTGCGTGTATTACTGTCTTTTGACAGCATCTAGTTAAATTTATTACAACTCACCAATGTACACCTTTCCTGGGTACATTCGGTCTATAAAGTTAATAATAATTTATTGCTTTGGGAATAGTTCAATTACAAGACCCTTTCAAACATATATTTGTTTACACTTTTTCTTCTTGATATAAAAACATTTTTGTCACAAAAAATATGTAACTGCATGATTGACATAGAATTCAAATTTTCTGTTATATAAGAAACGTTTGGTCTGATTTATGGGTTGGCGTCAATCTGTGGTTTCTTATGTCCTATATACATGTATCCATCTATCAACAGTCTCGATTGTAGTCATCTTTTTTGCAGTCGATACAATGACCTTGTCAGCACATACAACGTATCATTGAGTCAATTGCTGACTGACGTTTCTCATACTAATTGTTAGGCCATTATTACTACACTGACCTGTCTACGGATTCTTCCGGTTTTTTCCCCCGATAATGACAAGGAGCACACGGCGGGTGTGACCGGTCGGCAGGAGATGCTCACTCCTCCATGGCACTTGATCCCACCTCTAAATTTTGAGGTCCGTGTTTGCTCTGCTCCAAATTTGTATCGTTTCATTGGACTTTTGAGCTTGAATACTGTTCGTTATCTTCATATTTCTGTAAAAAAATATAAAAAAGGGATTATATATATATATATATATATATATATATATATATATATATATATATATATATATATATATATATATATATATATATATATATATATATATATATATATATATATATGACATATGGCTTTAGGAGACCAAGGAGGATATATTTTCTGGCTTAGGGAGACCTCTGGATTAAGGCGACCTTTTTCGGTCTCCCTATTATTTTGACCTCATCAGTATTGCAAATGTCTTTTTATAGATAAATAAACAGTCTGCCATTAAATATTATTAATCTTTAACTCTGTTATTTAACATTCAAAAGTTGTCTAATTTCTATCATCTTCCCTAAAAAAGAAAAGAATTTATAACCTACGTATAATTTCAAAGGATAATTTTTCTGCATTTTGGAGACCATGAAAAACATGCAATTAAACAAAAAATCTAGCATATATATTTTTTCCGCTTTTGATTTGTTCAAATGAGTGTTTCTTTAACTTAGTTTTCCATGTTTTATGTTAAAAACCTAAAAAGGAAAAATATTGTAAATTTATGAACCATGTTTTGAATTCTTAGCAAGTGCTTTCCGTCATTTGTTCCGAATGCCATCGGAATGCCCCTTCAGTTTTCAGAAAATGACCTCTGAACACCATGGATGTTGAGAAATTTGGGTAAGTAACTAAAATGATACAGTAATAAGTTGTAATTAAGAAAACACAAGACAAACATTCGTTTGTTTTTTGTTTTGTTTTTTTTTTTCCTAGTAATTTAGCTTTCAAGAGAAAAAGTATGATTTTAAATAATCGTTAGACTATAGTTCGCTATATAAAATCCTGAAGGAAATTCGAAATAAAGTTAAATGATAGGCCCCTATATTTTTTAATTCTTTTATGCAAGTCCACAAACAAATTAAATATTTAAAGATTAGGCCGAACGTTGAAAAAATAGTCTCGCAAGTTGACGCAGCTATTTCGAGCTTAAAAATTTTAATTAAACTTTCTGTAAACATCATGCAGGACATGATCATCATGATATAGTATAAATGAAACAGACCCTGTAAGAAAAAAAATAGCTGTAATTAATTTAATAATTGTTTATTAATATAATGTGGTCCTCTGCTAATAGAATATAATATATGCTGTAAAAAAATCTGAATCAGGGTGAAGCAGATTTGATACAATACATGGCTGAAGGAATGGGGGGGGGGGGGGGGCAGGCCCCCTGTAATTTTGCTGAAATTTAGGTATACTATAGAAAACATTGCTCCTTTATGCTTGGGCCCCCTCAATAATAACCTCTGATGATGTATTTTTCTTTTGCTTAATAAAAAATTTTTGGTTTGTAGCCTCCCCCAACCTGAAACTGAAAAATGTTGTTTGGTTGTGCTCACCCCCCCCCCCTTCCAACTAAATTACGTACGGGCCTATTCTCCATCCCTGAGGTTTTCTTTCACCAAAGAAAGATTAATTGGTAACAGTTCAGATATATATTGCAATATTTACGGAAGGGAATATTCTCGTTAAATTATGAAGATGTGACAGTAACTCAGTCAAAGCCACAGCAGTGAGTGTAACATTTATTTAATATTATTGTTAATGTTTACAAATAGTGAAATACTGATACTGTGAAATTTTAATGGATATATAGAAAATATAAAAGTACAACCATTTATTGTAAATCACATACATGAAAAGCTTCTTTTTTTCAAGCAATTGGAAATTCTTCATTTTTTCATGAAATTATTTTATTTCGTATGTATGATAATTTATTTCGTATTTTAATTCAGTCAACAAATCATTGTCGCAGCCCAGTTCCCTTCTTTATTTTCAGCAGTTCAGTGACAGAGATAAAATGATCATTTGAGGTTTATACCCCCCCCCCCTCCCCACCAAATGAAACTGAAAAATGTTTGGTTTTGGTCCCCTTCAACTGAAATTGATTCCTACTTATCATGCTTACAGGCTTAACTATGAAGATGTGACAGGGAGTGTAATAACAATAATTGTTCAGACAGATACATATTAAGCTGATATACACATCAAATTTTAATGGATAGATAGAAATTAATAAATAATTACAACCATTTATTATAAACTACATAAAGATAATTTTTCAAGCAATTTGAAATTCTTCATTTTTTATAATAATATTTTATTTCGTATATATGTTTATAGGTTTATTCGTATCAACAAATCTGTGTACGAGTTAATAACGCAGCCTGGTTCCCTGCATTTTCAGTGACAGAGAACCAGAATAAGATTGTAGGGAAACAAGCCTTGTTACAAGGTTTGAGGTTTGTTTATTTTATATTTTAATTTACACTTTTTAAAAATTATTATTATTATGCAAAAATCTGTATGCAGATGAATATTTACATTTTAATGTTATAAACTTGTCGTTTTGTGGTTCATATTTGCGGTGACTGTCCCACGTGTGTTTACCTGTTTACATTCACCTACTGACCTAGAGTCTTCAAAATATACCTTCTGTAATCATGACTGTTGTAATCTTGTTTTTATGTTAGTTTACCGTATGTAACTTGACTGCTGTATAGATTTATAGCGATCACTGCAAGCTTTTAATATTTAGGTGAAGAGAAATTTCAGACTATCAATCACAGGCACTTGTTTCATATACGGTGCACCCCTACTTATTTTTACCACAAGGTATCCAACTCAATTTCAGGCACCCCCGCTTCAAGCTCGTATTTTGTTCATGTATCATTATCAATCATTAACCTACTTTAAAATGACATCGTTCGCTTCAAGAGACTTTTTTCTTGTCAAATAAATCGTTTCAGACGTCTCTGATCGAGTCTCTTTATTGTAAAGCACTCATTTATTCCACGAAAATTACCTCGATACATTTTAAGACTTTAGATGGGATACAACTTCCAGTTGGGGGTAGAATAAAACCAGAGACTTCCAAGTATTCCATTCCGAGGTCTCTGGTTTTATCCTTCATTTATAACCCCAACCGCAGATTTGTATCGAAAATTACCTTGATACATTTTAAGACTTTAGATGGGATACAAATTTCATTTTTTTCACAGGTCACGAGGTTTCAACTTAAAAAATAAAAATTCTAACCGTTAAGATATGTTGGAAATTTTAGCTTGATCATGTTGATGTGTTGATAATTTGCCAAATTATTATGTAATAAAGGGGACTTTATATGATCACCCGGCGCTGTCGCTTTAGTTCAGTCTTCACAACAATTCTTTTTCAGCACATGCCCTTTGGGCATGTAGACCTATCATTTTTACCCAGCCCATTCAAATTTGTACATGTCCTACTCAAAATTCTTACATTTACCAGTATTGTGCAACAAGAAAAACCCATTAGGTATAAAGGTTTTATATTAATTTTTTCAGCGTCGTAAACCAACCATGGCCTGTGATTGCCATTTTCTAAAGCGTTTTTGTTCATAAATAACTTTTGAGTTGCATGCTGGTCATTTGTTGGCCGGTTTAGCTGAACTGAATTTCAGAAATGGGATCATGACTGTAGTGCCACAGTATGTGGCATTGATGAACATCTCGTAATTTAGCAAGCAACTTCGAGAAAACAAATAGGTTAAACTAAACACTTCAATGATTAGATTGACAATCATTTGACAGGTCGTATCGAGAATGTAGACAGGCAATCCATCGACATTACATATAGCAACGTTTAATGGGGGTAGGACAGAATAAATGGCAAGTAAAGATCGTACAATGAAAGAAGATTCACATATGCCCTCTTCGGACATGTAATTTGGCAATTTTTACATGCCCGGCTGGAAATTTAACAGGTCCCTGGCATTGGACTCCCGGGTTATTTGGAAGACTGTTAGTTTAGTTTCATGAGGTCCGACAACATTGATTCTCAATGTCTGCTCCCTCTACCCCATACACTTATCTTGATAAAATTATATAAATTATATTATTAATTATATAAATTATATTATTAATTATATAAATTGATATAAATTATATAAACCGGTCTAGTTTATATAATTTTACAATGTCATAAACAGCTGCTTAAGTGCATATAATATTGTAAATGGATTTATATATAGGATTAGGGAAAGATCCTCACTTGATTATGGCAGCATATTTAGCTCGTAGGAGTTTATTATCTACCATACATGTTCAATGTCACTTTTGGACGTGAATGACTTTTGACACCCTAACTTCAGTTCAAATCAACGTTAACTTTATGTGACGTCTCTCTGAATCTTTTTTGGCATGTAACTTGGGTAAAAACAATTAAGTACTCTTGATGCATTTGATTTCTCTTAGCCCGTTTAAACATTTCCAAGGTCTATACCAGTTTTTGCAGGGGCGAAACTATGTAGAAGTTGGAAAAGAAACCCATCCCCTTTTTGACGTATTTGGTTTTCGAGGGATGAAAATTTTCAATATTACACTCAACTACATGCAATATTTATTATATTATACTGAATGTTTTATACAAATACAAATAATAGTGAACCTTGAGTGCATAAATCTGCGCAGTCACTATTTTTTGGAATATCACCCGTCGTCAAGCAATGTTGACTGTTGCGACACTGGGCGTGGCTTCATTATTCAGCGGATAATAGTGCTTTTTAACAAATGTTTCTTGACCAATCAGATTAATTCATCTAATATACCTGAAAGTACAATATTAATTAATTGTCATCATTTTCCTATATTAGCATTTTTACTGGTAATGGTTTTGAAATGATAGGAACATGCACTGTTCAAAAAGTCTTAAAATGTTGTTTTGGCTCAATTTCTTTGTTAGATTACTGTGTTGAACTAAGGCAGGTCAATTAAAGTAACATGATCCTATAGATTCCATGTACATTTAGTACTGTAAAGTAGACAAATTTATTGTTCTCACAAGTACATGTAGTTCTCAAACATTGATTTAAGTTGGTCTCCTGAAGGATGTAATAATGCAATTGGTCTGCTTAAGGTACAGTGTATAATGTAGATATGCATATTTTATTTTGAATTTGTATTATGTCAATCATTAGAAATATATGGATCTTAATTAAAAAACATTGTTTTCATTAGAATTTAAGATATGTATAATAGGCATATATTCTTCATGCTTTTCCATAGTTAAGTCCTTTTTTACAGGGTCTCTGCTAGAATCATGTGGACCCAAGTGTAACAAATCTATGGAAAGAGAGAAAATCTCAGCTCAAGGGTCAACATGTCTTTATTCCAAGAAAGGTAAATTGATAATTTTTTCTGCTAAAATACTCTTTTATAAATTATAATATCAATGCAAAAGAGTGAACAATGTACCTAACAACATTTTGAAAATGAAAGTGCAATAACAGTTAATAATTATGATCAATCGAATGAATGTTAATAATCCAATCAAAGTCCTTGTTGTATATCATTTTTGCTAGGACTGTGTATTGAGCAAAAAAAAAAAAAAGAAAGACATTTTTTAATGCGATATGCAATATATTGAATTCTTTAACAATTCTGTCAAAAAAGTCTTATGAATCATTATGCATGAATTTTATAAAAATAATAATTGTTTTTTACTCATTTTTAATTTTTTGGTCTCACCGTCTTTAAAAATTACACTTCAAATTCAAACTTATCTTGACTGTAAAATCAACATGTTAAGTAAAGTTGTCTATGTATTTTTATGATTTTGTAATAATCATTTAAGATGTGCTACCTCCTTAATGATTATATCATTTTTGATCAGTTTTAATTCAAAACAGTTACCGGTAAATATAATCTTTGGTGATTGAAATTCCCAAGTTTTTCACAGAATTACATAAAAAAAACTGCCTGCCCAAAATGTATTGGAATTAAGTTATTTTTAGCTCACCTGAGCCAAAGGCTCAAAAACAACAAAGCCACAATTAGTCATAATTTATATGGAAGCATCCTCAGGTAGTGTAGATTCAAGTTTGTACAAAATCATGACCCCCGGGCGGGGGGGGGGCACAATGGGGGATCAAAATTTTACATGGGAATTTATAGAAAAAAAATCTTTAAAAACCTTTCTCTCAAGAACAACAAAGCCACAATTAGTCATATTGATATGGAATCATTCTCAGGTAGTGTAGATTAATTTTTGTACAAATCTTGACCCCCAGGGGTATAGTGGGGCCACAATGGGGGATCAAAATTTTACATAGAAATATGTAGAAAAAAATCTTGAAAAATCTTCTCAAGAACAACAAAGTCACAATTAGTCATATTGATGTGGATTCATCCTCAGGTAGTGAAGATTCAAGTTTGTATCAAATCATGACCCCTCGGGGTAGGGTGGGGCCACAAGGGGCGATCATAGTTTTACATAAGAATATATAGGGGAAAAAAACTTGAAAAATCTTCTTCTCAGGAACAGCAAAGCCATGTTTTGTCATATTGATATGGAAGCTTTCTCAGGTAGTGTAGATTCAAGTTTGTTCAAATCATGACCCCTGGGGGTAGGGTGGGGCCACAAGGGGCGATCATAGTTTTCCATAGGAATATATAGGGAAAAAAACTTGAAAAATTTTCTTCTCAGGAATAGCAAAGCCATGTTTTGTCATATTGATATGGAAGCATCTTCAGGTAGTGTAGATTCAAGTTTGTCCAAATCATAAACCCCAGGGGTAGGGTGGGGCCACAATGTGGGATCAAATTTTTACATAGGAATATATAGGAAAAAATCTTTTCATCAACAGAAAAGCCATGTTTAGTCATATTGATATGGAAGCATCCTCAGGTAGTGTAGATTCAACTTTGTTCAAATGATGGGGGGGGGGGGTAGGGAGGGTCCACAATGGGGGATCAAATTTTTAACAAGGGAATATATAGGAAAAAAATCTTTAAAAATCTTCTGCTCAAGAACAGTAAAGCCATTTGTTATATTGATATGGAAGCATCCTCAGGTAGTTCAAAATCCAAGCCCCCTCCCCTTTAAACTTTTCAATACTGAAGTGATTTGTGCTTTTTCCTAGCCAATGTGCTCAGGTGAGCGTTGTGGCCCATGGGCCTCTTGTTTTTGATACGATATATTCATTAATCTAGATATGTATCGATATACAGGTAAACTTCGGTATCTCGAACACCGGTATGTCGAATACCATGGATATCTCGAAGTGAATCAACGGTCCCGGCCGTTTTTATTTTATATTTTTGATTTTAAAAAACCCCGGTATCTCGAACACGGAAATCTCGAATACCTCACTTATCTCGAAGTAGATTTACGGTCCCAAGTGCTATAAACACATGCGTTATCTCGAAGTCCAACAAATTCTCGCTCCGCTGAATTCACACCTTAGTACACAATATTCCCATTATGCTAATTTTACGGTCTGTTGAATGTTTCCGTTAGGTCTAGCACAGGCTTCATGGGACCATTGCTTATAATCACACCTTATTAGTCCCAAGCTGTTGTTTTTGGTAGTTAAATTTAATTACGCAGGCCAGGTGATTTGGAGGTGTTAATAAAATGCACTCTCAGAGATACTATGACACGATAATTAAACAGCGGCTTGGGGACGATTACTGTACTAGAAATTTACATTATCGAAAATACACGCTTATACACATCATTACATATCAAAGTAAACACTGAACACATCAAAGTGATATTGAACTCAAGAAATTAAACAATTAAAGACATTATTTTGAGTATAAAAGTCAGTACCAAAAATCAAATCTTCAGTAAATATCATGTCCGATAAGGCAGTCGAACGAAGGACCCGGTAGCCAACCAGGGGGGATAGTTAGATTATCTGACCGTGGTGTAAAAAGAAAACTTAAAGTTCATTCAATCAAAACAAAGTTTGCTTTTGTTTATTCATATTGGCAATTTCAATAAATCATTGTAGAACGATAATTCCTGTTGTTTCATTTAGGCATATGGGTATATGTACATATCCTGTTAAAGTCTTTGTGTATCACATTATATCATGATATACTTCAGACAAATTAGTACACCTGTAGTTTTGAATACAATTCATACATTGATTTCATTTGCCACAATGGTCTCTTTAATATTGCAATAATGCATTTGGTCTTCCTAATGCATATATAATGCAGGTACTGTATATACTCTATGTCCAGCTTATAGGTGAGTCATAAAAAGATTAGTATTTTGAAACCAGGTTAAAACATCAGAGCATTGATTTGAAATTGTCAATTGATTCTGCCAAAAAGTTGTACCGATTTATAAGCGGGTCAATAGGAAATCCCTCTAAAATAACCTCAAAAAATACAACTGACTTATAGGTGAACCACCTTATAGGCAAGTATATATACGGTATAGTTTTTGTTGAATTTTGCTAACAGCAAAACACTATGAATAATGAATTTTGGGGAAAAAAAGATTATTAAGTTTAATGATGCATGTATGTAGTATAGAAATATTGTTCATATGCCTGTACATGGTACAAATATGCATTTTACAGAGTGTACATATGCCAGAATCATATGGACCGCAGACTGGCCCTGGTGATTCCGTTAAGTAAAAAGAGGAAAAATCAGTGCTTGTGCTCATTGGTCATTGGACAAAGGTAAATAGATTTATTTCATGAAACTAAACATGTAAATTACTAGGATATTAAAATATCAAAATTAAAATACATGTACTGATTTATATATATATGGATATAAGTTGGTCTCCTTGATGGAGTTAAATGCATTTGTTATCCCTTTTAAGTGGATCATTTAAATATTATGCAGTTTATTTAGAAGCCTTTATTATCTGCACTGTTCACTTTTACAGGGTGTATGCCAGAATTTTTTCAAGAACAATCTGAATCTGACATGGAAAAAATGAAGAAAAACAGCCTTCCTGTTTATAAATCTACATTCTGACAAAGGGTAATTTTGTTTAGTTCAATTAGAAGTGCACATTTAATTTCAGTTGCTTTCCTTAATGATATATTATAGCATTTTTATTCCCTTATGAACAATATGTATACTTGTAAAGCATGTATCACAAAATCTTCTGCAAACAAAGTTTTGGGTGTGTAGTGTTTGTTGTTTAACGTCCCTCTTGAGAATATTTCACTCATATGGAGACGCCACCACTTGTCGATGGAGAGCTGCAAATTTTTGTCCTATACTCAGCACTTACAGCCATTGAGCATTGAGGGATCTTTATCGAGCCAGCACCTACTGTGACATGGGACCTCGGTTAATACCTCTGTCTCATCTGAAGAACGGGTCTCCACGTCCCACAGTGGGATTCAAACTCGCGATGTAAGGATCAGCTTCTTTCTCCGCGACTCTAGAGTAGACGCTCTAACCACTGCATCTGCTCTACTTTGGCAACTTTGGGTGTATATAAGCATAGGAATCATCATGTCCATCTGTCTGTTCATGTGTTTGGCCACTTTTATGATTAGTTTTTTTGTTCCAATTCTGGCTGAGATAAATTGATTTAAGTCATCTAAATACAAACAAATTAAGGGAAATTACTATGGTATTGGAATGAACATTTTGGAAATCTGTCTAATTGTTCCATTGTAGTTAGTTTCTTTAATGTTGAAATAATGCATCTGGTCTTCCTAATGCATGGCATACACTGTATGCATGTGTAATGTTAAAGTTGGCTGAATGTAAAACAGTTCTTGCGTTATGACAAAGGTAAATAGATTTAGTTCATGTAACTAAACATGTAAATTATTAGGGTATTAAAATCTCAAGTTTTGAATACTGATTTACATGTGGAGAGTAGTTGGTCTCCTTAATGCAGTAATAATACATTTGGTCTCCCTTATGCATACTGTATATTATATAAATTTAATGACTGACATGTACGAGGGTTGATCCAAAAGTTCATGGAATTTCTTCATATTTTATTTATTTATTAGTGAAAGTGGTTGAATACTGATTTACATGTGGATAGTAGTTGGTCTCCTTAATGCAGTAATAATACATTTGGTCTCCCTTATGCATACTGTATGTTATATAAATTTAATGACTGACATGTATGAGGGTTGATCCAAAAGTTCATGGAATTTCTTCTAGTGTTGTACCGATAATCAGAAAACATCGATTGTCAACAAAAAAATGCTACCGATTCCGATGATCGATTATAGTTTTTCATAATCGATCATCGGAAACATACTTCTAATACAATACTTTCCGGAATTATCCATTTCTGGTTTAAAATTTATTTCTTCTTAATGAAAGAAAATGGCATCTGCATCTGATACTAGCCAACTAGCACGAAGCAGAGGTGATTAAGAATCGAAGATGCATATATAGGGCCTAAAAAAAATTATTTTTGTTTCCTGTAATAACCCGACCGACCCATTCAATTTACCCCAGGGTGATTTTTTTTTTCTGCCAAATCTGTGTTTGCTCTTTGGTTTGATCAATCAGCTGATTCTTTTTATTCAAAAAATATTAATTGTATCTTTTATTTGAGATATAAAATATGCAACTTAGTCAACATTTACCTTAAATATAGAGTGATCAATTCCCCCCACAACTTTTTGAAGTTCGTTTTCTGCTGCTAGGCAGCCATGTTGGGTGTCCACTGTAAATATTTTTAGGTCTAGAAAGTGTAAAAGAAGCAAAACAACAAAGAAAATAATATATTATGTATTTTATATATTCGTGTTAAAGAAATAAATGAAATTATTGTAATAGTCTGCTTTTTGTATACAAAACTATGAAGAAATCCGATTATAATCGGTGAAATCGCATCAGAAGCAGTAACCGATTCCAACCGATGATCGATTATGAAAATTAACTGATGTCTCATCACTAATTTCTTCATATTTTTTTTTATTTATTAGTGAAAGCGGTGAAATACTGAATTACATGTGGAGAGTAGTTGGTCTCCTTAATGCAGTAATAATACATTAGGTCTCCCTTATGCATACTGTATATTATATAAATTTAATGACTGACATGTACGAGGGTTGATCCAAATGCTCATGGAATTTCTTCATATTTTATTTTTTTTATTAGTGAAAGTGGTTGAATACTGATTTACATATGGATAGTGGTTGGTCTTCTTAATGCAGTAATAATGCATTTGGTCTCCCTTATGCATACTGTATATTATATAAATTTAATGACTGACATGTACGAGGATTGATCCGAAAGTTCATGGAATTTCTTCTTATTTTATTTATTTATTAGTGAAAGTGGTTGAAAATTACAAATAAGAATATAGACACTTGTTGAATTTTTTTAATAAAAAAATATTTAAATATTAATGATAGTAACTCTATGGCAGTTGCCATAGCAAAGGATGTTTTAAAATGCAGGGGAGACATTTACTCGTTCATTATCATTTTAATTCTTAATACATGATATAAGAAAAAACCTGCGCTAAGTGGCAAATAAAATGAGAATTTTGTCATTATTACGATTGCTTGACCACTAATATACCTGTCTGTGAGAGTTTTACTGATTTAACTTGATATTTAGATTATTAGTTGATGATTTCTTGTTCATCTTTTAATTGTTAGAGAACGTCACATTTCAGTCAAGTTATAAGTTTTGTTAAAATCTTAGGAACACTCTGACTTAAAGGGGTATACTACTGATACAGGCTGGAGAAAAATGCATTTAGCAACTGATTTTCCAGTGGCGTGAGAAATTTAAGAACAATAGAACTTCCTTGGAGGTTGATTAAAGGTGTGGCTGCTTTTGGAGGGTCTGTTTTTCTCATAGAAAAATTAAGCGTTGATGGATGTTGACCGCTGACGTACTGTGCTTGACTTTGCTACTGAAATTGGAACATCATATGGAAAGATGGGGAGTATTTTTGAAATATGAGTGTAATATAATAAAAGATAAGTCGATTGGTGGATACCCGGAGAAAAAGGCAGAATATTCTGTAGAATTACTTAGTTGAATTGAACATGAGGGTGAGATGCTCCTATAACATGACATGACATACTTAACTTGACGTTACGTCGAAGTCTCCCCCGGATTTTACAACTATCAGTGTTCAGAAAGCTCATGTGACCTTATTGGTAATTGGAACGTGGTGAAATTTTCCAGTATTGTTGCATAATGACTCTATATTATAAACAGATAAATATGCCTATTGTTTGCTTTCATCAAATCACAATAAAATTTTAGAAATAATTAAATTCCATGAACTTTTGGATCAACCCTCGTATTAGAAAAAAGATGGATCTAAGATTGAACAGGTTATAATTCACCTGAGTCATTTAAATTACTTATTGCTATCTGTTCTTGTTCAGTCATCATGTGTCAAGTATTGTCTCTAAACTATTGAACATTTTCAGCTTCTTTTCTGGAACCAGTTTCAACTAATTTCTCGGTTGAAGTACTGTATAGGGGATTAATTTCAGGGGTTGTAATTTTCATGTTTTTCTCTCCTCTGACACGATCGCGGTTTGTTGAATTTGCGGTATATAACTAAGGTTACATGTACCTCCCGTCAATGTCTATTTCCGTTTAATCCATAGCATAGATAGAAGGCATTAATCAGCGTTATGTATTCACTTCACGAACAACGGTAGATTTATATATACATCAGCAAGTTCGATAGTTATTTGAATGATTTTTTAAAACCAAAATGTCGATAAAAACATGATAATGCAGGTAACAAATACACGTTGTAACATAGTTACGTACGGGTATTCAAAACCCATGACCCTAGTGTTTTGATAGATGAAACATGTAGCGTTGGCTATTAAAACAGTTTTTTTTTTCACGGATTTATTCACACCGCGAATATAGCGAATATTAACACCACGAGTTATTTTCCCCCTATACAGTATACAGACTTAATATAGAAATGATTTTATCGACGTTCTCAATCTATCAGGAATTTAAAAATGTAAATATAAGCATTTAATTGTAAATATTAAACATTTAGCATCTCATAACCAGAGTTGGAAATTACTGACTGCCCGAGGCAGTCTGTTTTTCAGGTAGGCAGGGACAAACTTTAGATTAACCTCGGTGGTCGGGGTCATTTAAACAGGTAGTTCCTGTTTTCCTTTTTTTTCAGGGTATAATAAGTCTATAGAAATTAAGTATAATATAGTATATCAAAGGAACACTTTTAGTTAAAAATATGAGATGACCTATAGGACCAATATTGGTTTCAGTCTTTAGAAAAAGCTTACCGATATATGTTTCGGTCACTGACTTTAGGTCACATGTGTGTAGTTTCTTGTTTCTCATGTATTGCTTTAGTTCTACATTAATGGTAATCTAACAACCAAGCTTTATGATAAACGTGATGACTTTAACTTTTCAATCGTCAACTTCCCTTACTTATTCAGCAATATACCTTCATCACCGGCATATGGGGTTTATATCTCTCAGTTGATTCGATACGCAAGAGCATCCTCTATGTATGAACAATTTTTAAAAGGAGGTAAGTTATTGACAAACAAATTGCTGAAACAAGAATATCAGCAGTCTTGTTTAAAGTCATCATTTAGTAAGTTCTGTGGTCGATACAATGACCTTGTCAGCAAATTTATACAATTTATCATTAAGTAAAATTCTGACTGACGTTTTTCATACTTATTGTTAGGCCATTATTTACACACTGAATTGTGTATGGATTTTTCTATTGTTTCCCAGTCGTGACAAGGAGCACACAGCGGGTGTGACTGGTCTGCAGGGGATGCTCACTCCTCCATGGCACCTGATCCCACCTCTGATGTTTTGGAGGTCCGTATTTGCTCTGCTCCTATTTTGTATTTTTTGATGGGCTTTTGAGCTTGAATACTGATTGTTATCTCGATATATTTCATTCTACTCAACTGTGTGTTCATGTGATCCTACCTCAGTATTTACAGAATGATACATCCTTTGTTTGAGGGTCATTCTTGATGTCTGACTGAGTAATGGCAATGGGACATAAAACCTTAACTGACCTTACCACATTCTTTTCTAATCTGAAAACCCTCATGCATTTTTAGCATAACATATCGCCAATGCACACATTTTTCCCGAGGAATGAACTGCATCTACTCTGCATAGAACAGTATCTCTCCCACTGGCACAACAGTACTATTACACGTCATAATATTCTTGAAAGGCAAACACAGCAATTATTGCTCGGCATCACTTTTTTTCATGACACCTGCAGTATCGAGTAACACAAAGTGAATGATTCATGTCCTCGAACAAAGTGTGCTTACAATGAGGTTTAGTTCCGGTTGATTGCGTTTAGTTAAAGAGAATTTATGATCTGCATTTCCATAGATGTCTTTTATATTAACACCAAACATGCATTTAAGGAAGAAAATATATTAAGTAAAATGCAAAAGCCTGTATTAAAAAATCAAAGGACAAGTGCACTTAAGCAATGCTTAATGGGCCCTTTCAGTGCCATATTACTTTAGAATGTATTACCAAATTGTTCTTTTTTGGTAATAGTTAAACACAAGTGGACATTTCTAATTAAAATCACATTAAAACATCACCTAAATCAGCATGGATTTGAAACAAATGAAGTTTTTTAAATTCCTATAGATACTCCAAATCCGGAAAAGTCGTACCGAACCTATTTTGAGTTTCGTTTCTTTAAATCAAGGGGAGGAGACATTTAAATCAGACACTTGAACAATCTGATGGTGGATCATTGACAGGCGCGTTTGCCGAATGATACTTCTTGTGCTATTTTACCCGAGAAAAAAATTGAATGAAGTTGTATAGATACCTGTATCCATAGTGATCAAACTAAGAAATTTGCATGCTTGCATTTGAAATAATACAATAAGTATTAACATAAGTTCCTTTAAATTTTAAAATGAAAAAAAAGTGTATTTAGGTGGCTTTCAATACCAGTACCATTGTCTTGCATGAATGTTAAATGAATGTATTTATGATGACATTTTAACGACACTAAACTCTCCTAACCATCCCGTGTTCCTAAAACCAAATACATACAAACTTCTCTATGCGACTTGACTTTGATATAATGATACAAAACGTGGTTATGTTTTACAGTGAGCATCTTTGAGGAATGTTTACCTGGGTAGAACTCACGTGACTACCAGTATTTTAAATAATTTATTCCACGGGTGGGTTCAACATAGGTCATACAGGTAAATAGCTCTTGCTTGTTATAGGAAAAACATTGAACTTTTCATACATTTTTAATATTTTAAGTACAAGCCTAATCATGTACAAATTTCCTACTTTCACACAAGTTTTATAAATGTATAATGCATTTTTTGTCAATCGCACAAGTTTGTACAATGTTAGGCTGACAATAAACAAAAGCTTTGAAATGAATGACCGTCCTCGATTTACTATAGAAAATCACGAATGTCGGCTGACCCCTACCACATTGTATGGCTTTGTTCTTTGTATATTCATGAATTTCAGCGATAAAATTTGTTGAATCTTATGGTTTAGATATCAATTAATGATCTGAGATGGAAAATTATGCTTAATTTAATCCTTCATTTTTTCACATTTTACCGGGGCCCATAAGTGAACTCGTTCTTTAGTGTTTATACAGGTAAAAAGTTTGAAAAAATAAAAATGTGCCAACAAATGGTTTCAAACCAGGACACTAAAAATGTTCATGGTGAGAGTCTGCGGTCTATCGTTCTGGGCTATGCTGACTATGAGGACATTTGTAATAAATATAAACCAGTATGATAGAAATAGATTTTCACGTTTTTTGTAGGTTTTTTTCTATGAATTTCGACCCTAGGCACCTCTAAAAGAACCTTGTTTTAAATAATTGCTTACTAGATCAAAATCTATCAAAATTTCATAATTTAATTTAGGGGCAGGCAAAGGGTGATTATATTGCATCTATCGGGTATAATTTTCTTATCAGAAAATTGTAGAGATATGCAAGGTTAATTAATGACAACATTTATTTTTCCTTTTTGCCTAATACTTTTATGATTTTCACTAATAAATTGATTATTGAAAAAAGCCTTTAATATGACTGCTGATTTTATCTCCATCTGTTGATTTTCAACACCTTTTCTGATGATTATAGTAGAGAACAGATTATGATTTCTAACATTTATTTTTACAGATCATTTTCTTGAGATAGGTGGAACCAACAGTCAAATATAGACACTTTTAAGAAAAGTAAAAATCTGGCTCAGGTAAAAAAAAAAAAAAAAAAAAAATCATTTACAGTTTTAACAATTCGTAATTTTACCTTAATTAACTGGAAAAACCTTATTTGATGAAATACAGGTCAAGAATGAAGAGTTTAAAGCCTAGTAGGGTTTTGGTCAATCATTACAGGTAATCTGCAGTCCCTCTCGAGAATTTTACACTCATATGGAGACGCCACCACTTGCCAGTGGAAAGCTGCAAATTCTGTCCTATACTCTGCACTCATGGCCATTGAGCAGTGAGGGGTCATTTTCATGCCAGCACCTACTGTGACACGGGACCTTGGTTTATAAGGTCTCATCCGAAGGACTGGTCTCCATGTCCCACAGTGGGATTCAAACCTGCGACATAAGGATCAACTCCTTACTTCGCGACTCTAGAGCAGACGCTCTAACCATGGCGCCACGCTTGTGACTAGCTCAGTTTTAAAGAAATCATTCAAGATATTTTTTATCAAACTTAATATGCTGATACATATATAATTAGTAAGACCTATTCAACTATTTCAAAAGCTTTTGACCTTTCCTGTGACCTTGACCTCACTTTCCTTCAATTTGCATTTTGCATGGTTTTAAAACCATTTAAAATATTGATATCTAAGGCTATGCATCTATACATAATTTGGTGAGAATTTACCATCTATATCCATTTTTTTTAGATTTTCAATTTCAATTTTAAAGAAACTTTTCAAGATATTCTCATCAAACTTCATACACTAACACAAAATTTCATGTTGCATTACTATACACTCGGCGGGCATACATGTCCTATGGACATATTTCTAGTGTATTGCTGTTTCTGTTGTTTGTTTACTTCCGGTCAGTAAGTGCCCCCTAGGGGCAAGCCCCAGTCCTGTTTTCTTTTCCAGGGTTGCAACAGCACCCTCTAGAAAAACAAGTTGCACCATCCAATCAAATCGTGTTTTGTGCTGCTTTATGCCAATGAAATTAAGGCTGGATAGCATATGTATTATATTCTGACCAATGGGGTTGCCGTATTTTCAAAAAATTAGGATAGACTTACCACTTCAGCATTCCTTTCATCACTGAAGTGATATACATGGTCAAAAATTGACTAACTTTCATTTTTGTGTCAACTGCAGAGCAGAACGACACTTAGAGATCACTTTACCTGGTGTCTGTCTGTCCGTCTGTCACACCTTATATCTCCAAAATTTTGAGAGGCAGGGTTTTGATAATTAGCATTCATCTATGTTTTTGAGCTCATGATACTATACTTTGAAACTGTATGAAATTCAGTTACCACACAAACTTATATTTAAATACTATGAAAATACATTGGGATCAGTATCCCACAATGAATCATGTTGACTGACAAAGTGACAATTAAAGTAAAGACAGTCTGAAATTCCTTTCCTCCGAGGATTGTCGGAAGCACCTACATGTGTATTAATAAAATGATAAATAGTTATTCCTCATAATTTCAATTAAATTATTCATTTGAGGACTGGGGAACTATATTTTCTTTGATTGCCGGATTCTATCCCAGTCTTTTACTTTTGGATCCTTTTTTTCCTTGCAGGCAAATGCATGAACCTCCATGCTAATATTAAATTAATAGCTGACCACTCTTAGATTTATTTACCTCTTTAATGACGATACCTAGCAGGTGACATATACATTCCTTGAAACACTCTAGTTCCTATTTGATTTTCACTAATATAAAGATTATTGAAAAAAGACTAAGGTGCTCTATAGTGATCAGTCTATTCATTCATCTGTCTGTCAAATACACATATCCCTTGTTCAGAATACAGGTGACTCTAAATACTTCATACTTTATATTTTTTAATTAGATACATGTAGCTGCTTTGGAACATCTGAAATGTCTATTACATTATCACTAGTTTTACTAGTTTTCTTCATGTAAGTTGAATATATTTTAAACTTTTAAATTTTTATTTTTTCCAGGTAAGAAAGAAATTCAGGAGTTCTTAAATTGCCCTTGGAGTTCTTGGATTGCATCAAACTGCTAAAAGACCTCAACAAAAACAGCGTCTTGAAAATAAAAATGAAAATATTCAGTGAAAAAAAAATGATGAAAGAGCCACTAAAAATCTTCAAGCCTTTGAGCTGAAATCTGGAAGTCAATCTGTGGACTTTACTAGTATGTCATAATTACTAAGTCATCATTTGTGTATAATAAATACACTAAACTGTAAACACTTGTTAAAATGTGTATAATTTTTAGATATAATTTGGTAGCTCACAGACTTCAATAGTTTCATGTAATTTAAGTAATAATGAAAATTTCCTGTTGTCTAGCTAGATTAGAAACTATTGTCACGTGGTCAAGCTGGCTATCTCCAAAAATCACACAAATTCAACTAAGTTTTAATAAATTTATTTACAAAAAAATAATAATAATAATAAAGAAGATTTCAAACAGACAACCACACTCTGATCCACACACTCTTCCACACTATTAAACCAAAAAAAAAATAATAGCAATTGGTAACCAATAATCAGACAATTAACCAATTAACCCCGGGTATAGATTTCACTCAAAGTATCATTGCCAAACATGTTCACCGATCCATGATTATCCTTGTCATAATCATCAACATCATCTTCGTCAACATCATCATCCTCATCCTCGATGCAGGAATGAAATCATTAGGTTTGCCATTTCGTCAGTGTTCGTATAACGAGCTAATACAATGTTACGTGGATTGACTTATCTGTATCTGTCCACCCCCAGTGAATCTTGTTCCACACACAGCATCCTTCCGGGCCTTAGTCCTGGAACCTTTCGCTGTGTCTCGACGATCCCCTCAGCTTAGTGCATGTATCTAGCACATGTCATACCAGTGTTCTTGACGCTACAATGACGAATATTTTTAAGTCACATGTTTCACTAAATAATGTTTGGCAACACTACTATGTTTGGCAATTCATTCTCATAAATAAATAAATCAATCAATAGGTATAAATTATAATGGTTACCAGTTAACATAAGTCAAAACAAATTATTGCCAACATGGCGCACCTTACTTTCGACTTCCGGTCATTCACTTCCGCCCAGACATTTAAACCAAAATTTAAATGGACAAAATATTTCACATAATGTAACAAATCTGAATACAAGAAAACTGCGTAAAATAATACCTTTAAACTCTATCGATATAATACAAAAGCCATTCGAACACTCTCGCTAACCGTCACACTTGACTGAACAACAGGTAAAATTGTGAGAGCTGGCCAAGTTCAGAAATAAGAACGAATACGTATTCAGTAATAAATTTACTTAAAAAAAACTATATACATAACGAATATTAATAATATTATAAGTAAATACTTACCACGGACCTGTCTCCATGCCAAAGCCAAGATACTGATTGTATGGCAGCTATTTGCATGTACACTAGCTGCTTCAATTGTAGAAACGTGTCTGCAGCTACGCTTCTCTGCCGGGAATGACCAGGCCTCAATTGTTCTGGTCGGCCAAGCTATTTTGCAAGGGCTTATGGGTAGATGGGGCATAGGGACAAAACGCGGGAAATACAAATAATATGTACAAGTATAATAGTGATTGTTACAACTATTATTGTCCAATTTTGGATATTGTGAAATAATTCATCTAGTATGCATACATGTGTGTACACTTACGTGTAAATTAATTGTTGTAGCAAATTCAATCGATCATTAAGTTGAATGTTGACTAATGTTTTTCATCAAAATTGTTTACACTGAATTGTTTGTGGATTTTTCCATCTGCCCATCCATGTCAAGGAGCACATGGCAGGAAATGCTTTCTCCTCCATTGCACCTGGTGTTTTTAGAGGTCTGTGTTTGCTCTGCTCTAATTATTTATTGTTTCAATGGACTTTAAAGCTTGATCACTGTTGGTAATCTTCATATTTCATATACTATTAGAGTACTTGAAGAAAACTGTAAAGATTTAACATACAGTATAATGCATGTATATTGCACTTTAAGTACAGTGTATGTGGTTAAGAAATGTTAAATCGTCTCATAGTGCATTGAATTTGTTGAAAATTAGAAAATGTGTTGAAATTTTTTTTGAAATAATGTTAGATTGCAGATTTTTTTAAATCATGCAAGTAAGAAATTGCTAAATATTTTTTAGCTTTTCTGGACAGTCTAGATGAGTTCTTACTATATACCTAGCATTGTCATCCCAGTTAAAATTTAAGGAGCAAGGTTCATTCCTAAGCTCTACCTGGACAAACTTGCATGGATTAAAGCACATTAACAGATTTACTTCAGATGCTTGACCTGATCTACATTTTCCTCATGAGTTTTATTTGTTTTTGTTTGTTTGTTGTTTAACATCCCTCTCAAGAATTTTTCATCCATATGGAGATGCCACTACTT